GTCAATCGATCAACGCGTAAAGATCGTCGATTAACCCGTTTTGGGTGTACAAGTAATTTGCGGCAATTATATCATTTAATTTCATCGGTCGAGTGTTAAGGTATACTCAATTTAAACGTAAATTAGAGGCAAGATTGAAATCGTTTTAAAGATTATACGAAACATGTATATTTATGATTTAATTTAAAAAAATAATCCCTTAATGATAAACAAGTTATGTTTTTGCTGCAAAGAAAATTTATTGAAAGAAGAAAGGTTTGAGTTGGTCGAAATTGATCGGGAAAAACCTCGGTTTGCGCGGTCGCTTAATATATCAACGTCTCTCCCTTGGTTGAAACGAAATGTGCTTACGAGTCATCTGCCGACGGTGGTCCTGGGCGTGTATAAGCCCAAAAGACGGTGGTCCTCTCCGACAATAAGCGATGATATATTGCGGGCGCGTCCCACTAAACAATTTGCGAAACATTATAGCGGGACTAATGGTGTCATTGTGTACGTACGATTCCCTCGAAATCGTCGCTCAATCTACTACTAGAGAAGACTTCTCTGGGGACACTTTACTCTCCAAGTTCAAATAACTTTTAACATTGATAAATATTTGTAACCCAAATCAAAATATCTTATATTTTTATGTTGATTCACCTTATCAGATTGTTTCTCAATTTCGATGATTTCCAATAATAATATAATCGGATTATATCATCGAATTTGTGACCAGGATGATTTAAGGCCACAACTACCAAAAGATTAATTCTAAAGTTTGGCGTGTTCTATATTGTTAAAATTTCACATTAACTAATTTTTTTATTCAACAACGTGCATCCAGTTAACAAAAGGGATACAACAGCGATTGTCCCTCGAAGCTATTATATTAGGAATTATTATAGTATTTGTAATCCGTGGGACCCTCAAAAAAAGATACGTACGGTACGACATTTGGTTGTGCATTCGCTAAATCCGACACGGCTTGAAAAGTCACGGCGTCAAGGATCAAGTGGGCGTGGAGAAATTTGTCACCCCTTGCGACAGTATACCATCGAGGCCCAGGTGGTAGATTCGCTGAAGTTGAACAGTCAGCTGCTTCTCGTGTTAACGATTCATCAATTTCGCAAGTTACCGTTGTTTAGATTATATTATTCAATAAAAACCGAATATTTAATAACTGCTGTATTAGAATTTTTATGACTATAACGATGAAAATAATATAATATTTATATGTAACATAAATAATAATATTATTAAGGGTGTGGCTATTATCAAACACAGAGTGATTGAAAGAATGTGATTGAAAATGGAATTAAAACAAAACGAATATACATTAAATCAAGAAGTAAGTTGAAGTATATCAATAATACCATTTGACATTGTTTAACTAATTTGCGAAAAGTAATTAAAGAGGCAGACATAGTATATTCAAAGATAAAATTTCTGGTCATGATTTATTATTTCTGCAGAAAGATAAAGAAAAAAGTAGTAATAATAAAAAGATCACGAAAAGCTACAAAAACAGTTGTGATTTTATATCCTCCCTATATTACATTACTTAGTATCAGATAAAAACTGAAACATCTTTATAAGGTTTACGAAATTCCTATAACACCTGATACGTTATGGAATGAGTATAACACAACACGAATAATAAGATAACATCTAGCAGAAAAAGCTGCAGAGGATGTTGATAATGAACAAAACTAAAGTACAACATTTATACAACTGAGTTGTCTTGAAATCATATTGCATCGTTAACAAGTTGAAACATACTACTATCCGTGCAAAAAGTCAAGGCCCCTCACTTTAGAGATCGATATCTTCGTAACCGCTCGATGGAAAAAATTGGGGTAAAGTTTATTGTAATCAGTGAACATTTCTGCGTATCACATGTTAATTTGGAAATTTTCGGGTCCGCGATTTTTCTTTTATCACGAGTTAAGTGAAAAAAGTACCCGATTTTTGAAAGTGCCAGCAACCTTGTCTACTTTGCGATTTTTTTTCTCCAAAACTATTTCACGAAAAAAATTCAAATTTGAATTGGTGGTAAACCGATGTGTTCTTAATGTGGGCCATATTTTATTTTTTCGATATTCCATATAGTTTCGCGGAAAATCGCGGATTAGTAGATGCGGTTATTTCGAAAACCACCGATTTCAACGCGGTTTTTACCAAAATATGTCAAATAATGTCGGTTGTCGGATTCCGTTATGAGATTTTCAAAATTAGGACTCCCTAATATTTTAAGAGCGATTTAATGGAATTATAAATTAAAGAGAAACAGAAATAAGCTATGCGGGGAGAGAAGGGTTCCGTCCAATTGGAACAGATGGTTTGTCCCAGATAGTACGTCGCGCCTTTATCTTACTTACATAAAGAAATAAGGCGCGACGTCCTGTCTGAGACGCACCATCTGTTCCGATTGGAAGGAAATCCCGTCACCTCGCAGAACTTATGTCTGTTTCTCTTTAATTTATCATTCCATTAAATCGCTCTTAAAAAATCATTCTAATTTTGAAAAACTGACAAGGGAATCCAATAACCGACATTATTTGGTCAAATCAGCGAGGAAATCCACCCAGCCGTTTTCGACATAACGGCGTCTTACTTAACCGCGATTTTCCGCGAAAATGTATGGAATATCGAAAAAATAAAATATGCCACTCATTAAGAACACACCAGGCTACCACCTGTTCAAAATTCAAATTTTTTCGTACGATAGTTTTCAGGAAAAAAAATTGCAAAGTTAACAAAGTTGCCGGTACTGTAAAAAATTGTGTACTTTTTTCATTTAACTCACGATAAAAGAAAAATCGTAGATCCGAAAATTTCATTTTCAAATTAACATATGTTACGTAGAAATGTTCAGTGATTACAACAAACTTTGTCGCAATTTTTTGTATCGAGCGGTTGCGAAGATATCGATCTCTAAAGTGAGGGGCCTTGACTTTTTGCACGGATAGTAGGGGAAATCTATAGAAGAAATTTAGTTTTTACTATACATATTTGTTTATTTATTGACCCTTATTATTATTAATAAAAATATAAACTATAAATGTGCACTTAAAAAGCCATGGATATATCGCCTCAGCCTAGCTATCCTAGTTTTCTAGGAATAAAGAATCTACAAAATATCAAAATGAATTGTTTTATTAAAAGAATCAATAAAAAATTAAAACTGATGGAGAAATGCATTATGGACTAAAAATTCATAAAGAGTTAAAAGAAGATTATCCATAACCACTTCCAGCCTGCTTATCCTATATTTCTAAGTATAATGTATTATTCTTCAAAACGCATCCATTGTAATGAGACTAGGAGGGTCAATCTGTTCAATATTGTTTTCAACTTTGCGTTTGGTGATTGCTGACATTGGCGACGAAGTCGGCTGTTTGATTGCATCTAAGAGGTTTTTGATTGAATATTATGAGATCTTGTAGTACTTTTTCAACTGCTTCTTTGCATTTTGGCAGTTTTCAAACTGTAGTTATTACCAGTCTGAGTTTGGCTCGTTGGTAATACTTTAATTACACATGGTGGCAGTTTTTAGAAGTGTTATGCGATTATAACTTCTGCATTTAATGAAAAATAAATATTCAATCCACAAACAATACATTTCACATTCTACATTTCTATATTCAGAAATAACAAATATCGTTAGTGCTACTTCGAGGTGTTAGAGCGCTTAGGTTGTCTGAATTTTCAGGATTCCAAACCTAAGAAGATGTGATTGTGTTGGGCTCGTTGTTGTAGAGTCCTGGACTCATGGCTGTTTATAGTAACGTGTACGCAGTATAGAGTATTGGTGTGGAGATTTTTATAAGTTTTTCAATTTTCCAAGCGTTTAGGGATAGGCAGTAGACTTAAAAATAATTGATGATTCTTTTCTACTTTTCCCACATTTACATTCTTTCTTGTACATCTTTTTATCCCTATGACAATGAGGGGAAGGTATGGTCGGAAAAACTTCAGCACAAACATCTTGATCCGCATTGCTGCCTATGTCCATTCTCTCGGGTATGGTGGAATTTTTTTGCATGAAAGGAAACTACAAGTTTTAAACTTCCAAAATCAATAGCTCACACTCGATATCCATTAACTGCTTCTTCTCTGCCATTGTCTTTCCTTTAAAAGCACTGATATGGGCTAAGCGTTGAACAAAATGTCATAATAGACATTCTTTCTTCTTCTGTTGGTATCCGTGTAGGCAATATGGCCAGTACCGTTTTGATATCGTACCAACGGCCTTATAATTAATTTATTGATAAGCATTCTATATGCATTAGATGCTTTTTTTTGATACGAGATCTCTGCGATTCTTTCTTGATTCAAGAAAACTCTCTTTGTACCGGTGTATTGGAGATGCTTGATCATAATTGATACACTTTAGAGGTAGGTTTCTAGATTTGTGGTGCAGGTAATGTCGTTGCAATTTTTTCCGTATTGTTTGTATATGTGATCTCTTCGTGTGGAACTGTTTTACTCGCAAATGTTAATAATTGCAAATTAACTATTTTAGAAGCAACATCTAGAAGGTTAGAATAGGCAATGAAATTATGCAATAGAAAGATGTTGGCAAGTATGGATCATTAATGAATAAATAAAAACAGAACAAAGACTTGTCTTGAATTTCGATCAGAACAAAAACAAAGAAAAGATAAAGCAAAAAGGGGAACGAGAAAGTTGAATAAAAAAGTAAATTCCGAGATACATCCTTATGGATGATTATTTTATAAGGATGTATAGTAAAGGAATTCGGAAATATATTGATAAAGTGAATTGGAACGTAAGCAGTGAATCAAATTATGGACGCGACAAAACTGGAACCTTATTGTATCAATAAATATTGATACAATCGATTTTCGTAAGCATTACTTCTTCAAGCACCTTTTTTAAGCTATAATTTCATTATTAACTGAGTGATATTAGCTCTATATATTACTTACCTTTATCGACCCATCTGCATTTTGCCCTTTTTTTTACGTGAGTGGTGAACAATAAAAACGAATAAATTTCTTAAAACAATATTAATCTCGAACTATACAAGGGATTTTATTTAAAAATTATATTGCACACGTACATTACTGTTCGTAGCTACTCTGTATCCAACCAAACTCTCTTTTTTTACTTCTACCACAATAAGTAGTGTTGAGACTTACGTGTTATGTATATACAATTATTTTGGTCACTTATAACCTATTTTTATTTCTTTATTTATATGCGATTTTTTCTTGGATTTTCGCAATGTTTTCAGCTAGTTTAAAAATTCTAAAAAATCCTATTTATCATAATTTTGAAATGAAAATCCAATTTTTAAATCGCATATAGAAAAGAATAACATACCTAACCAGGTAAATAAAAAAAACTATCATCCTTTCAAATCACCGTATAAACCAACATACACGTGTCGCTATAATTACATCTTACACCCGGCTTAAACTTATCCTTCTTTTCGTCAACGAGGCGGTCCGCCTTGGAAACCGTGCAAGTCCAAACCGGCCCTGAGAGCAGCATGCGATGCCAATACCCTCCCGGCTAAATCCCCAAGGGCTCGTTCCAGTTGCTGATGTTGACTTCTGACGGCGAATCTGTTAACGTGAACCGGAATCGGCACTACTAGCTTGCTCTTGTTCTGTTGCGTCCCAGCTCCTTTTTGTTGATGATGCGGACCGGCACCTAACCCGGCTTTAACACGCTTCCATTTTGCCCGACGATTTTGGAACCAAATTTTCACCTGAACCTCACTCAAACGTAACGCGGCCGCTATTTGACTACGTTCTGTTAAGGAGAGGTACTTTTTCGCGTGAAATTCTCGCTCTAATTCGAGTAATTGTTCGCTGGTGAATGCAGTTCTTCTTCGTCGTGCTTTCGTGGAACCATTTCCATCGCACTGACCCTCTGAGGATTGTGACTCTTCAACGTCTTCTTCTAAATCTGAACCTAAAATATTAAAACAAACGTACTTTAAAAATTTTCATTTGGAGCTGTTTTGATTGTATATACATATAATTTGTTTGGTGATCAAATGGATTATAGAGAAGTGAATACTTATATTTTTTTTTAGCTGCCGATTATTTCGAGCACGTAACCAGCTAATGAATATTTTTCGAGAACTGGGGGAACGCGGAGGGTCAAATAGTCGCCGAATACAAAGGAGAGACCGTGAGAGACCGAGACCCCCCCGCGCAGTTCAGGCAAAAGGAAAAAAGCGTGAAGGGGGACTCGATTTTTTATTCGTGACGGCGGCGTCGCGTTTCGCGGAAACGCTAAAAATACTTATTAAGCGCGACCGGCGAAACAAAAGGAGCCGAATTATAAATATAAGCGAGTTCTTCCCGCTTTCCCGGTACTAGTTTGCTTTGTACTCTTTTATGTTGGGTGGCTGCGAAGCGCGCGTTTTCTGCTCGAACGTCTGTTTTCATTGCGAAATGGCGCGTTCTTAATGTGCAATTTGGACGGAGTGGTCGTTACTTATTTTCCGGACAGTTGCACGAGTAATAACGCGACCTACCTACATACCTATTTGTATCCAACAACTAAATTTGGCACCCACAATGAGAAAAATTATAAGTTATTACCTTCACATAATAATATTTGCACAAAATAAATTGGATCTCTATGGTAATTTCCTGGATAAGACGTGTTCAATAAATATTTTTCCATTTATTGACCAAATTGTTAATAGATCATAGAATCCGGATTTGGGTTTTGATGTGCAATTTTATGTGTTGATTCTTAATCATCGGTTGGACTTTGCGAAATCCGTAGTGAAATTTGAGTAAATTGCAATGGTCTATTCAAATGCTGAACTGACCGATATGATTTTTCACCATTTAAAAGAAACTGGGTGCTTTGAAAAGGTTGTTCGTTTATGTTAAGTTATTTTGTATAGCCCTGCCAAAAGACAACTCAAAATTAGACTCTGTTTAAACTATAGCCACAAATTTGCAATATGCGATGGGTTTGATGGGAGGGAGAGGGTCGAATCATTTGTTATGTTGCAATCACGACATGGTCACACATCATACTCCAGGATTTGTTTTGAAAACTTCAGAGTAGCACTATAAGCAGCTAATACGAAACTCCCTCGAAAATCCGTACAACACAAATTTACGTCGCAGCTAGACAGCAGAAAATCTCTGGCAATTTCAACTGGAAAAGATAGTTGACCTGTTCATCTCTACCGAAGTGTATGGTTTAAACCAGAACGATTGTATGGAACATCTTATCAGAACACACTGCTAAACAAATATACTAAAGCTGAAACACAAAATTTTGAGGAAATTGTTGGCTATACCTAATGTTTCTCATGCAGATAATAATAACGGAAGAGATCAGAGATCCATATGTATGACGGAGATAGAAAAACAAATTTTAAATGCAGAAACAAGCGTCAGAAGAATAATTCAGGCTCAAGTGTGTACAAGTGCACATGTTGTTTGGAGAACTCTCGGTGAGCAGCTCATTTACCCTTACCATATCCAACATTTACGAGTTCTCACTTTTCCAAATTACCACGCAAGATCGACATCCTGTCAATAGTTTTTATGGGAAGTTACTGAACGCTCAGATTTCTTTTCAAGTCAGATGATTCATGATAATGACGGGTCGTTTGAAAGAATGCGGGCTTCCTTTCAAAGCAGAAAATGTTCAGTGCAACATTTTGAACATCTTCAGAATATTATATGCATATTGTATTGAATAGCGTATGCAATTTAGTACTAGCAATAAAATTCGAGTTGGTTCCAACTCTCTTACTTCAAAATCAAAACCTTACAGAATTGATTTTACAGCTTTGTATTATGTATACAGTTCTTCATCCATGTGTTCTTCCTGATCAATACAAGTTTGTTTTAGTAGTTCTTATCTCAAAAATTACAAATCCTTTGGAGTTAAAGGATCTTTATAATATTAATAACTAATTTGTGCTTTTCATATTTCTGGAAAGATAGCTTGATTATAATCACTTACCCACTTATCAATAATTAAATTAATATTCATATTGTAAAATGTATAACATTCAAAAATATTATACAAGCTGTTTCGGCTTATACAACGAAATAATTTTCAAATAAAAACCGATCGGTTATAAACATAACTAATTGAATTTATTTTTTTAAGCCCCATCATTCAAATAACATTCAATTATATACAAATCAAAATATAATATTTGGCCAAAATCGTACTAAAAATTGTTTTTTATCATAATCCAATTAGGACTTTAACATTCGTTACAAATTGTTAGGGTGTAATACTCCACAATCTGATTATCGGCCCCTTAACACACATTCGTTATGTTAAATTGGATAAGAGAATTGAATTAAGATCACTCCAACCCCTAAATAAGAAAAGTTAATTAAACAATACATCGTGTTTAAATTTTTTTGTTTTTTATAGATTAAATCCTATTTTTATCATTTCTGCTTATTTATTCACGAATGTTTGAGCGACAAAAGCCGTAATATTCTAGCGGTAGTTAATTCATAACGTAACAATACCCGAGCCACTCGACTTAGGAGGGTGGAAACAATCCGTTTTTGGCAGGAAAAGAGCAGTATTATACTCCTCGCCGGAGGGATTGAGTTTTTTTATTCACCCTCCAAAAGTGTGTCTCGATTTTTGAAGGGATTTGCTAACCTAAACGTTCTCTGTTTTTATGTGCAACCCTCACACTAAAAACGAACCGCACGCATACTATAGCGGCATCAATTTTACGACCATTTACGGTTTACTGTATCTATTACTTTAAATCTATTGTTTTCTATTCTTATTTTTGTCTCGTTTTTGTAGTTTTTAGAGGATTTTTAATTGACGGTAATCGTTAATTAATTCATAACACGTATCGTTTAAATGGATTGTTTTAAAATACATACAGTGTACCATTAGGCATTATTTTAATCGGGGTATTTCTAATTGTTTTCGAAGGATTTTCACTTAAAAATGTGGTTAGTTAAAACGTTATTTAATTCAAAACATGTTCTTCACTGATTAATTTATTTGACAATGATCTATTATACTTTGAATGTTCTCTGCTACCAGAAACGAGGCTATTTGCAGTGTATTCGATTTTTTAAATAATAGATTAAGCATGTTTAGGAGTAATATAGAATAATCTTTTAATACAGTATAATTTTTTTTTATTTTAGGGGTAAATCTAGCAAACAGAAATACTACTTTATCTAGTTTTAAGCAACTTTTGAGTAGAATTAAATGGATTTGAACGATTTTAACAGATTATCCTTTCTATTTAGATAAGTCGAAGTGACTCCAAAAAAGCTCTTCGTAGTAATAATATTTTTTTGCATATTTACACCGTTGGTTATAACACTTAGGTAAGATTCTATACCATTCACGATTTGAACTTGACGGTGTGTGTTGAATAATAACTTACGCTTGTCACTTACGACACAAAAGATCTTAGCTCATCACTGTTGTCACTTAGCGTCGCCACTTTATTGAAGAAGTTAATAAGACTAGAATTCATGTATTCCATCTTTGCATCAATATCAGCCATTCAGCAAAGTGGATGCTATGTATGCTATGTTATTATTGAATTAACTGGAGTATTGTATAAAAAAAACTGTTATTGTCGCGAAGTCATTAAGTGAATTACTCTTCAAATTGGTCTTACAAATTGAAGTTGTGACATAATTAGAACAAGGAAATGTAGGATATTTTTCTTTATTTCGTTATTTTCATATCTTTTTTATTTTCTAAACAAAGAAATATTAGTAAAAATAACAATAACTAAATAAACAGCGTTGTTATAATAAATAAAAAATGAATTAAAGTTACGAAGGATATTTGAGACTTCGAAAGAAACCGAAGTATTATTAACGAGTATCGACGTATATTAAATGAAGGAAATGGTTTGTAGTTGCGACTCGTTCGTTCTGTTCCTCGTTTCTAGTCCTGTAATCTGAATATCTCGTCTATTAAATCAGAATCGAATGAAGAAATGTGAAGAAATCAATGATTTCATTTATCGTCCTTATCAGATGACCTCACTTGGACGCAGGAATGCATTTATCTACATTCCGAAGTAAAATCCACCACGTACGGCTGGAGTTGATTCCGCCTTTCTACTTATTTCACCTAATCCTGACGTGATATTACTGTTTAGTAGAAACGTAATAATAATATCTAGTATAAAATGAGATAGAGGAACATGGAGAGCAGATTCAGAAAGCAAGCTCGAACTATTTAAATCAATTATGAATACGCAAGTATTCTTCCCCACAAAGAAGATTTAATCAAAGTCGAGTAATTTGTTGCAACTGATGAAAATAAGTTTTAAGAAAAGGCCACTAAAACGTAAAACATAACTTATTGTTGGCAAATTAAACAAAAACTCGATTCTCTGCCCATTTTCATAAAAAGTGATAGTCTGTAAGTTATCTTAAACACATAAAGTGGACTCGACCGAACTTGGGATCATCCTTAAAAACTCATGATTAAGAAAAGAGAAGAAAGAGGTTGAGAGCTTAATCAAAGTTTGTCTAAAAAGATATCATTGAAAAGACATCGATGTTCAGCGAATTTATTTGACATATGTTTGTCATGTCAATACAATTATTAAATCTATGGAGCAGATTAGTTAGGGGTATCCCTGTTTATGACTTCGAATCACTCCCCTCAACTCCCACTCATATCATCAAAATCAGTTAACTACACTGACGACTATAAAATGAAAAAAGCTTTCGAGATTGTGCTCTTTGCTTTGCTGTATTTTGCTGATTTAGTCAAATCAAAATGTTTATATTGATGTTGTCTTTGGATTACTTCAAATGAATACTAAATACGATCTATGTTTTGACGACGAAAAGATGTAGGTGCAACAGACTGACGATACAAAATCCATGCATTTTCAGAACTACAACTTTAGCTCTGACAGTATACTTGCTTATTGAGTCAAAGTCCCGATATAAAAAGGGGTAAATCTGAACCCTTTGAAAAAAGTTGTTACTCCCAAGTCGATCTGAACGATAAAAACTAATTTGTGTCAAGTATCACTAGAAATTTAATTACAGAGTGAAAATATAATACAATAACAACAATGTTATTTAATATAATTTTTCTTTGTTATTCTTAATAAATTAACTGTTTAATAATTTCATAATTTTAAGATTTAATGAAGATACAATGTAACTTCTATTCTTATGACCAGAAATATATTGGTGCCAAATGTTAACTATTAATAGTTTATTAGTTAATGAATCGTAAAAGCAAAACGTTCACTTGAACTTAAGCAGGTGATGAAAATTGCTCTGGCACAAAATGTCTATACTTTATGCTTTGAATCGTCCTACGTAGCAATTTATAAAGCTAGTATAAAACAATGTGATTTTCAGGCATATTAAACTCACAACCCAACAATTTAATTAAATTAATATGAAAATACCAAGGTACTCACTTATAAATTATTTCTACTTGCTATGTGAAAACAACATTTTAATAATGAGTGAGATAAATTGAAGCCACGCAGTTGTAAAAAAGGAGATAATAGTGCATAATTTTTTATTATTTTTTATTTAAGTTTAACCTTTAAATACCTTAAATGTCATTTAAATAAGTATTTATTGATGATTTCGCTTCAATTAAAGTATATGTACAACTTTGTTTTTCAGTGAAGTATTTTAGTTGTTATATTTGTTTTGTTTTAGATCCGATATGGTTCGAAATTATGTTAGAAGCAATTAAACTGGACGGATAAATATTTATGCAGCAAGTGAAACATAAAATTACCTTAAATACAATATTAAACCAATTAAAAGGAACTCATGGACTAAAGTTTATAACATTGTTATTTCTTAAGAACATGAAGAACAGCTTCCAGATGGATGCTGAATAACGGAAAAATATGTGAAGTGCGAAGTCGTAAGGGAATAATTTTGTGATCCATTTACAATAAATTAATATTTTCTCTCTTAAAACGATACATTTACATTTTTAACACTGGAAAAATGTTCTACATAAGTATGGAATATCGACAAAACCAACCCTGCTAAAACCTAGGTAGTTGAGCAACAAATCTGTCTTCTACTCGAGCAGTCAGTGGTCCAGGGAGAGAGAATATTACTGTTTTACTTGCACCTTCTGGAAATAAAGTGCCACCTCTCATCATATTCAAGGGAAACAATATCTGGGATCAGCGGCGTGTACCAGAAAATACTGGATTTTCGGGAACAAATTTGTTACAATGGCCAATAGCTGGATGGTAGCAACAGTTTATGAAAATTTTTTTGAAAAAAGGTTTTTAAAACCAGTTTCATCTAAGTGTTCACATTTGCTGATATCCGATGGTCATTAAGCTTAATAGAAATTGCCGCAGTAGCCAATGTTACAATTTTGAAGTTATCTCCGCATACAAGTTATTTATTGCAGTCTGTTGATCTAAGTAGGTATATTTAAATCCTTAAAAACCATATGGGACCAAGAGTTAGTAACATGGCAAAGGAAAAATATTGACTACAGCTTCCAAAAAGGAAATTTGCTAGTATAGGGATTTAGAAAAGCTGGAATATAACCACTTTAAAAAGTGTGGTCCATGATGAAATGTTTAGTCCCATTAGATTGAAGCTATGAAATGAGACAAATACAAGAACCCCAGTATCAGCAGTACAGAATCGGAACTAGGATGGACGAAATTTTCTTATAGAAACAACCAAATCAGATATATCACCCATTGCAGAAGAGAGAAAGAAGAAGGTAGTCAAAGTAGAAAACTGCCAAAGAATGTTGCGTACTGATAAGGATGATAATGACATATCAACAATTTCATACCAAAAATTGAGGTTGCTTCTTGGTCTACAATATACAGCCTCATTGCAATTACTTAAATACATATAATTATTTGAGTAAGAACTTACACCAATAAATTACCTGTATCGAGAATTATGTACTGAATAATCTACAATTGATTGAATCTATATAAATGTGTTATAAACGTTTTATACCTGCAATGAGTCACGTGACATCCGCATTTGTACACGTCATATTTAAATAAGTCTACATCAAGACTTTATTACCACCGGTTGGTAATTCTTTAGATGGTGGCTTTGGTGACGACGATCGACGTTTCTCGATTTCGATTAATATGCGCGACGAGATCTTCCCTGTCGTTCCTACCTGTACACATCAAACACAGCGCTCACCAAACGTGGACGACGTCAACAAGGCGAGCGAAAGATCAAAAAGAAATAGGAAACGACGCCGACTCTCCGTATCCCGCGGGTGCTTATTAATCGCTTCGGCTTTTTACGAACCGGACAATTATCGAATAATTAATAAGCAGTAAGGTAGGGACCGCGAAAGACGCGGCAGACGCGCCGTCGCTAGATCAAAAAAGCCGAAATTTTTGTCGGCGAATACAAAACGAAAGGAGAATCGAAAACAATGAACTTTGTGTATATTCATTGACGACGATATACGCGTCGAACTTTCTTTTTTACATGCTTACATTAAAAATGCCGCCTTTGTCATATTTGAAATGACCATAACTTATTACAGTTATAATGTAGTGTGAAGAACGTTTTTTGGTTTGTTAATAATATATGTATATCTTATGTCTTAGGAATTTGGTATTGTTGAACGTTTAATGTGGTTTGGCTAATTGGTTAATGTGTTATATTGAAAATTGAGTCTATATCTTAATTCGAAGTTCAAAAAGTGGATCATTTTACCCAATATCTGTTGGCATGAAATATTTTTCCTTCATAAAGTTCATAATGAACTAATTTGTGTTATGGCAAAAATATTTCATGTTATAGTTTAATAATGTCTAAATCTTATGAGTACTTACTATCTCTTTGACTCCTACTAGATAAATCTTGTGCCAAATCCATATCAACGCTTCCATCCGAATCAGTATCCCTATGCCCAACATTCTGATGTACCACAACATTTTGAATTCGACCATCAATCTGATGCAGATGATGATGTTCACTATGATGATGTTGATAACTTTGGTGGACGACAACCTCCCAAGGATTATTATTAATTTTTCTCCTCGGTCTATCATCGCCGATAAGCGCCTCGATCGAAAACGGTTTCGGAACGGGCTTAATTAACTCTTCAACAGACGTAACAGCTTTCGCAGCATCCTCATCACTTTTCATTTCCATTATTTATTTTGAGAAAAATTAAAAACGCACACACATTTGTTTTTTGCCCCTACTTAATCTTAAAAGTTTTTAAAATTACACACTGCCTGCAAGCTTTCGTGGTTGTGTCGCGCTTCGAACTCGGTCGTTCCCGTTCTGGGGGTCCTCTCGGAAATGGTAATCGCTGGGACGGGCTTTCGTCGATGGCGCTCCGCCTCCAGACAGTTCGTTGGCTCCGAAGTCTCCAATCCTGGTACGAAAAGCAATTCGCCGGGGGGACCGTTGCGGCTAATGCCGGATGGAGAAATTAATTACCGCTCGAGCGGGGCTGAACGGACGTGGTGGGATCGAAACCCTGTTAATTTCTCTCCCGCCCTGAGCGATTCCCCGCGGTGAGTCCCCGACGGCGTCGTGACACCGCTTGAAGGTAAACGGATTCGTTTTATGGCGACATTGTAATTAAGCGAAATTTCACTGCGAAAAGCTCGATTTGCGTTGGACGATGTAAGGCCACCGTAGCTCCACTCGAAATTACCACAATACAAACTTAATTAACCAGCTATCTTCAGTCTTTCCATTACGGCGTTGAATATTCATAGGGAAGTTATTAATGGAAATCGATCATCGTGTCTTTATTAGTGTAATATTCCTAATTAAATAATTAACGAGGACACTACAATATTCTTCAGAAGCTTGAAGAGCTAATGATTAAAAAAATAACCCTTTCGTTAAAAAAACAACACTTCTTTATATGTTTTTTCTGCAAACATTAAACATTTTAAATGGTTCAGATGTTCATACCTCACTTGTTATTAGTTGCTTTAGTAATCATGTTTTCATTTCTGTATTGTTATTGACATGTTAATGATTGATTAGATTTATAAATAATATTTAAATATCCTCTGTCTAAAGTCTAAATCCTCTATTGCAGAATCAATGTTGATATTTGCAAAACCATTAAAAACTTTATTATTACCTGCAAAACTTTGAAAGGAAACATGAAGAAGGGAGAAAACAAGCACCATATTACGATCTAATTCCAAACATAATCATCAAATTTGTAGTGGGTAAGTTCCCACTTTCTTGGAAAAAGGCCTTAATCCTCATGTTATCAAAACCCGGCAAAAACAAAGTAAATGCAAATAACCATCTCTAAATTAGCTTACCAGGCGTAATAATTGGCATGAAGTATTTGTTAACGTGGCTGATGACAGTGTCAGGTCTGAGATCATATTTGTTCTCTTGTCAACTTAATTTGAAAATCTTGTTAAATTTATAATGTTCGGGGCAACGGTAGCTGTCATAATTGATTTGCTACATGGTTTCCAAATCAATTTTGGTGTCCTTTGCAATATTTTCCTACTTGCATAAAAAACTTCATTGCTCGTGATGAATGTTCACCGTTACATGTATATGTTACAGTTAAAGCATTCCTTCCGTGAATGTACTCATTTTCTAGTCAATGCATACATTAACTAATTTATCTAGTTAATGTGTATATAAAATACGAAATGTAAACTTTTACTAGTTGATGTATATAATTACTAATCACACTCAGTTAAAGCTTAAAGTACGTTTACTAGTATATTACTTAACGAAACCCAACCCAAAAAATGGTTACTACTATACTTACTTACTGCTTGCATCACATGCCACCCCTTCCATTAAATTTTCTGTTATAACTTTTACTAACATCTGTTAGCAAATGCATTATGTACATATTCACTAGAAAATGTATACACTCTATGACTGATAAATACTTTTACTAAAACGTTACGTTAATGTATATGTTGCAGGCAAATGGTTGTTTCAAGTAAATACCGTTTTCCTAGTCAGACACTATCTGCCTATATAGGCAAATAGTTTTATTCCATTTATTTCAGCCTAAATTCTACTTTCCTAGGCAAATAGCATATGGCTAAACTATTTTCAGGTAAATAGCTTTGTAAACCAAGTAGCTTTGATAACGAAAGGAACTACGTTATTTTATTGTGAACAGGTACCTACTCTATATTGCATTGTTGTATCGAAAAAATGGTATTTGCCTAAAACAAGCTTAGACACATACTATTTGTCTTGTCCAATAGTATTTGCCTAGACATTTAATGATAAAACTGTAACGAACTACTGTTAGGCAGACAGTATCTGAATAGGAAAAAGTTATCTACCTGAATTAAAAATTTGCCTGCAACATATACAGTGACTGACTAACGTGTACATTAACTGAAATGCACGCTTTACCTGTGATATATACATTGGTAGAAAAAAATTTTCCTGCATATACTTAATGAGATGTTTCTTACATAATTTTGCAAGAGATGTTTGAAACGGCACTTGCATCATCAATGTCTTAACTTTGGGTTTCATTTGGAGTGTCTTGGTAAATTAGCTACTCAGCTATTAGCTACTTTAATTATTGTTTATCTCGTGCACAATGTATTGCCGAAAATTTCGAATGTTTGAGAGGTTCTTTTCAGTAACTTTGAATAGAGTAGACTTGATTGTTCGACCTACATGTGCATGGCACAATCAACTGTGTGTTATCACAGAACACTACATTAATAGAGCAATGACTGATTCTAATGCCAAAATCACGGAGAGATTACGAAGGTTTTAAAGGTTTCCGTGATGAAGTGAAAACTGTAGAGATTCCAGAAAAATGCAAATTTGGGCAGGTTTAAAGCTCTCCTTCCTATAACTGTAAACATTTATATGTTGTTGTTGCAATAAAGTGTTTAAATGTTTGTGGCCTCTACCATCTTCATAAAATTATCAGCTTTCTTAAACCATACTATAGTAAGTACATAAATAATATCTATTCGAACTCCACTTTTTACAGAATTCTACAGTTTTAGAAATTCTCTATTATATGTTGTTCATATGTTGGATAAAGTTAGATAAAGTTTTCTTTTGAAATGTCAATCTTTCAGATAAAGAATGTTGGTAAAGCAAATAATTAAAGCAGTAATCTTGTTGTCATAAATGTAGATCCTAAACCAAACATAATTTAAAAGTATAGGGCCAGCAAAGGAGGAGTGAAATTGGTTGATAAGATATGCAGATTCGGTATCCAAAAGAGTCAAAAGATAGCCATTAGTTGTCATTTTTTGTCAGCAATTAAAAACAACCAGGTTCTATACATATGTAGCAACTAAAGAAATCTGTCTAATGGCAGATACTAATAAAGTTTTTCAAGCAAAACACAAAGGATCAATAAAAGCATCATGATAAAGAATCGCAAAATGAGCACAGGATGCAACAAATTCTGGTTTTAGCAATCTGATTCTCATTTTTATGCATGAAAATGCAAAAAAATGTACGTTAATATTTTGCATCTATTCTTCAGTAATTCACCCTGTAGTAAAATTTAAAGGTAAAAAAATGGATTTAGTGGACTACACGTTAGAAAATATTTCTATATATATGAAATTTCAATTCCAACTCACAAAATTGGCTGGCAGCTTTAACAATGTGTTCACGAATCCGCAAAATTTCCTGCTCCCCCACGGCTCGTGATAATAAAATTGAATAGCAATTATACATCGCTGAGTTTTCACTTCCGGAACGAATTGCAATTCGGACGGGAAACCAGGAATCCGGCGGGATTGGAATTGGTAGCTACCGAAATAGAGAGAGAGAGAGGGTTAGAACCAAACAAATGCACGAGCAAACGAAATGAATAGAAGGAAATAGGACAGGGTTAGGGAAGAAGAGAGAAATCGAGAGAATTACAGAATAACAAATGGTTTGCCCGTTTTGTCCGGCAACATGAGGAGGGAAATCGTATACGTATGGCGTACAACATGCGCGTGCGTTAAATATCACCGCGATTCGGCTAATGCAATAAGTGACGCTTCGCCGATGACATTAAACGGGACCATTGTGGCGTCCTGTCATTTTGACGGCCCTTTGTCGAGGACGTCGCACGTCAATCACGTCTCTTGAAATCTCGACCGAGAGTGCGCAACTACATCCAAACCCTAATTCGACGCCTACAACGGGGTTTAGTTTTATCCCTCAACCCATGAGTTCATTGTAATGTTAAAAAATATTTTAAAAATCAAAATCGTACAAAACATAATTAAATTTCTTCTTGTTTTAACAAATTTATGCAGAATTGCACAAAGTCAATAATTTACTAACACTTCATAAACATACCCATTTTTTGAGTAACATCATTCAACAACAACTAGAAGTAATTACAAATACCTACTTTGAGTTATTTTATTGCTTCTTAGATTAATTAATATTCTTAGGACTGCTGATGATGATATAAATAAAAGTTGATATAACATATTTTATGATATGTAAGGATATTTCAAAAGTAAAAAAAAATCTAAACCTATTTGTGTGAGATAATGTATTAGTTCATAGTCGAAGGAAAGAAACACGAATTGGAGGAAGAAAAAGGGGAAAGGAAAATCTATTTAGGGGGACCATTTTTCGGTCGGTTGCCGCTAGCGGCGTTTATGAATGTGACAAATGGCCGGACGACCGAGTGGTGGCCACGTGTTCTACTCTTTCACGGATTCACACTTTTCGTTAAATAGGCTGAGTTAAATTATGTAGAAATCCTACTTCACTCGCTATGTTAATTTGTTTCGCATACTATAGCTACATAGGTGTTGCTCCCTTTTTAGATTTGTTGAAAATGTCACCTATGTTACTTAATGAAATTATAAACAATAAGTATCTTTATGCAGGCAAAACAAAATTTGCAGACTTTACACTGCCAGACTGCTTACTCGTGGATGCTAGTTACTTTCTCGTCAAATTCTTTCTATTGCTATCACACAGATCGAGAAGATGTTAGACCAAAAACGCTTAAGTTATGTGTTTGTTACCATATTCTGAAGCCAAAATGTATTAAGTTACAAGTTCAAATCCTTTTATTTTTGTCAATCAAGAAATTGGCTACCAACACAGACGAAACAACTCTTTATTTAGTCTTATTTACCCACAAAGTTAAAACTAGACCTAGAACTAGAAACTTTCAGGTTATGCAGTGCGTTACCATATTCTGGTTGTTTCTGAAAAGTTATAATTTTTGACAATTTCTCGACAAGACAACTCAATATACAACTAATATTGCGCATTCTGAAAATAACAACTCCAACACTTTTAGGATCATGTAAGTTGGATAGAACGTTACTGACTC